ACAGAACTCTAATAATATGAAAAGTATATTAAAACTTAAGTGAAAATATAAATTTTTATATGCAATTTCAAATATATCATAATAAATATTTTGAATTTATAAAAATTCTTTATTTTCATTGATAACAAATTTTATATTAAATTTTATAATTTGTATGAATTTGTGTAATTTAAATTCTTATGACATTCTTATGGTATTGTATAAATTGATTATTTTAATAAAACTATAATACATATCGTTTACTTTTTTGTATAACAATTAATAAAATATAAAAAATAATTTAAATAATTATTGTATACTATTAATGTAACAGAATCAATATTAACTTTGTATTTGAACGAATTATACATTACTGAAGTCATTAGGAAATTTAACGTTAATTCATACTGAATTTTTATTGTCGGTACATAAATACTTATATTATTATTATATTAAAAATGAAATACATATTTAAGTGTTACTGATCATTACTTAAAATATAATTTATATTGTTTTTCTTTATAGGATGATAAATGTGCATATTTTTATTATAAATATAAATGCTAAAATTGATGTAATATTTTATTTCTTTTATTAAATTATTCTAATTAAAGTATTACTAAACTTGATTTTTCTAAATTAAAGGTAGAATTATTATAGTAATTATTCGTTATGATATGTTTCTTGTATTTTATGTATTTTTATACTAAATTTAAATTATGTTAATGCAAATTAATTAATTTTGTATACACAAAAACTTTATAGATTATATATAACGTATGTATAATTTTGATATTTTACTGATTTAAATATTTATTTCATTGAATATAATTATTTTTTTACTAAGCTTATTGTGTAACAAATCTATTATACTGTGAAATCAACACTCAAAAGATGTATATAAAAATCAATAAAATGTAAGTATTATATTTAATCGATGGAACTGATAAAATAAACGATTTAATTTTAATTTTTTAATAATTATATACTCTATAATAAATATTGTCATTTATAAAAAATATTATGCCTAATCTGAATATACAATTTTATTTGGTTACACTAATATTTAAACGATTTGAATTCGGCAAATTAAACGTAACATCAAATCATGAAATCAAATCACTTAATCATAAGTAAACTCACTAATATTTTATTAATAGCTTTCTGTATACAAAACCACCCAGGAATCTTCACACAAAGTCAGTACATTTCTGTATATAAGATTCTTTATCACAAATGATCATTATAAAAATAAGTTATTAAGATAATTAAACAAAATTTTATACGATATGATGGATGAAACTTTTCCCTCGATTTACTTACAAAAACTGATCGTTACGAATATTCCTCAATCAGGAAAATTCATTATAATATGTCATTTTGTTGTGAAGCGAACTATTTTTGTATTCTAAAATCTCTTAAAACATCTGCTATCACTAAACTAGGTAATTATTAATTTATTAGTAAATTATTAATAATTAACAGTCTGCAATTACTATAATTACAACAAATTGTCTATCACAAGCTCAGGCATTTACTGAAGCATGCCATTTAATTGTTCACAATTCGTAATTTTTTTCGTATATATATATTTGTATATATATTTTGAGAATATTAATCTAATAAAAATTCATATTCTAGTTTAGATTTTTGGAATTTACGAAAAAATAATTTGAATAATTATAAACGTAAAATTTATGTATATTTCGATGATTATTTTTAAATGATGATACTATTATGATAATAAATGATTTTATGAAGCTTATTTGAAAATGAACATATTTTTCAAATATTTTAGTTAAAAAAAAATATTTTAAAATATTTTCAGAAATATTTGGAAGCGCAAAAATAATTTCATATGCTAAAATATATTAATAAAATCTTAAAACATAAAAATAGGATTTTTAATTTAACGTTACCTTCGTTATATTTTTAATTAATATGTATATTTATGAAGTTATTTATTTTCTATAATTAAATTTTTTAAAAGATCATTTAAACGAAGTAAATACTTTATTAATTTATCGTTTAACCAGTTTTAATTAATAAATAATAATCAGTATCTGAAAATATTTTCTACATTTTTTAAGATTTGTATAAAAATATTTTTATTTTTTTTCAATATATGAAACATGTGCACTACAAAAAATGCATAATTGTATAAAATATTTGTCCACTCTTATGTTTATCAATTACAAAGTTTAAAATACTTTACAATACTTATTTATGAAAAGTGGTATGTATGCACGCTTTATATATTTTGTTTTACTTTTTACTAAAAGACTTTAAAACAGATTACTTCAACAGTGATCTACGATCATTCAAAATTAAAATAGTTCAATTTTTACAATCATAATAGACTTAGCTTTTTAGATATTAAGAAAAATTATACCCATATAAGAGGAGTCATTTCTTAAGTAGTTCTTTTTTAACTAAAGGAAATTTAATTGAATATAAAAATGAATAGTAAATAATAAGCCATGTAGATTAACATTTAATTAAAAAATATGAATATCATAAAAACATTAAAAGTTATTTTTATATATGTTTTATCATGAAATATCAATAGTAATCAATCACTAGATTATGAATCAAAAGTTTCTTCGCACCATAAATATAAAATATAAAATTTATCATAGTAATTCAGTTGATAATTTCGAAGATTTCTTAAATTTGACCTTCTTTAAAACTACATTTAGAAAATCAAAACATTCTGGTTCTATATACAAAATTTTAACACAATAGTTCGGTAAGTTTTGCTTTGAATCTATTGATACAATTAAACAATTATATTTATATTTAATATTAGGTAATAAGTCGTGGAACGTTATTATTACAGTTAATTATGACACGATATAAATTATTTTTATAATATACATATTACTTGTTACAATATTTCTGATAATAAAATCAAATTATTTAAATAATATTTTTTATTTTAAATACAGCTATTTCATTTATTATATTTATTTAAAACTTTAAATATTCCATTTATTGCATTTTTCACTTTTTTGAATATTTGCAATAATAATACTTTTATACATAATCAGTATTAATCTAGTAAATACATAATTATTTTAATTTTTCATTCTTTTAGCCTGAAAATTGGTATTATAAGATATTATATATAATATTATATATTATATATTATAATAATATATAATAAGTATATAATAAATAATAATACTTTACAATTATCAATAAAAAATTTATTCCATGTAAAATAGTATTTGATAATTTATATATTTTAAAATATATAATCTATTCATATTTGTTACTAATAATAATTATTCAATAATAATAATAAATATAAAAAGAAAAGTATTGTTTGTAAGTCTCAAAGATATTAAAACTTATTTAGTTTTTAACAAAGTTTATGCTTCAATCTGTTATTTTTTATGTACACAGCTTTTACAAAATTACACTTTATAAAATTTTGTTTTAATTTAAATATATTTCTTAAACAATTAATGGTTGCTGTTAGATATTATAAGAAAATAAAACTAAATCTAATCATTTGATTAAGTATAATGTAATACAAACTATAATAAATGATATAAAAAAGATCTATTTTGAACTATTTAATTTGATAAAATCTTAAAGATAATGAAATATTAAAGAAAAAACTATTAGAAATATTCACTTGATGAGAAAGTCGTAAAAAACTTACCAACAATTTATTATAATTAAAATGATTATTTTTATAATTCTTTATGGCAATAAATCGTTTTTCATTTTATAAACTTCATTGCTCTAATTGGTATATAAATAGATAAGAAATCCTATAAAAACAATGGGTACTAAATATGAAGTCATTGCAATATTCATAACTTGGAGCTTTAATTATAAATGCGATCATAGTTAACAATCCCATTTTGAAATTCGAATATAAATATAAAAAAGAAGTTAATTATTATTTTATAATGTGAATAATGCATGTGTAATTTCCCTTGATTAACTAAATATACAATAATATTTTTCAATTATATAAAATACTTTATTTCATTTATTATAGAATTTATATTATTTTTTATTTTGCAATATTTTAATTTACTATCTTATTCTCAAGCTCCATCATTATAAGAGACTGCTTAATAAATAAATAAGAAAATTATTAGGAAAATTCTCGACTTTTTTTAACGAAGACAATGAAGATAATAATTAATTACAAAATCGTGAAGGTTCTTATAATTTCAAAGTAAAAGCCAAATTTACTATATTGCATGCGTTTATTCAAAATCATGTGAATGCGAGCGTGCCTTAAAACACCGCTAGTACGTGGCTGAGTGTATGCGCGCCTTAACGGGTTATTAATGCGTGGGTGAGTGTATACGCGCATTTATGAGATTATTAGAAGCGCGATAGCGCATTCGTAATGGCGGAAATTCCGAGTCCGAAAAGTGGGCCTGGAAAGATAAGATTGTCTCATCAATCTTTAACAAATAAAAAATATTTTCACGTGATCGAACCACGGGACTTTATTCTTGTCAACGCAGTGATGACCTTTTACGTCGCTGTTGCGAAGCAGCAGTACGTAAGAAATAATACTCAGTCGTAGCTACGAGTCGAAAAGAAGGGGGAGTTCGTGTTTTTTATGCTAAAGTTTCTTCTCTATCTCTCATAACTTTTCAAATGGTGTACTTGAAACGTACTTCGAATGTTGCTGGAACGCCGAGCTCGACGATCGAAGCCCTATTTATCAAGATATGGTTAGTCAAGCGTGAAGTCATAACTATAACGTAATAAGGTCAGCACCTCTTTGTCGTTCAAGTATGTCCGCTTTTACAAAATTCTATCCGAAAACAAAACTGCAAAATGAATAATGAAGCGTAAAAACGAGCTTGCGTATGTACGGTCACGCGTGGATGGGTGAATGCGTGAATCGGTTGAATAGGTGGATTAGTGGATTAATGGCTGGGAGTGACAAACTGACGTGTGTGTCTGCAAACGAAGCGTACGATACATACGTGTGTGTAAAACTAAGCGAGTGCGAAGATAAAAATGAGTACTTGCGCTCTCACCTTATCGAATGATCGCCACCCTGCGGGCCCGCACTCGGTTATTGACGGAATGATGGAGGTTTTCGGTGACTGTGTCGCAAAAATCAGTCAGAACGCGATGTGTCCGGATGAAGGCTGCTCGACGGCGTACGTCGACCAGACTTTGGTGCTTGCGGGATGACTTGGCGTCTCAACGGGTTCAGCGGCAGATAGGAACATTCGTTTTTCGATTTCTTTCGCTGCTCGACTCTTGCTTCTTCTTCGGTAGTCGACTCCGATGATCAACGCTTTTTCCACTATGGCCTACGCACTCCCTTCCCACTGCGCGTGGCAATTCCGATGCGAGAGAGACAAAGAGAAAAATAAATTGTTACTTACACCATGCGCGACGTTGCATATTTTACTTTTAATTGTAAATCTTAGGCCTGGATCCTGGATATTGTTTTATTTTAACTTTTTTCTCTTTTTCTCTCGATCGGAATTTTGCACACGCTCGCGCGGAAGGAGAACGCGATATTTGCACACGACGCCCCGTACCCGAGGTAGTGACGACACAAAGTTCCGTCGTTCCCTGAGTCTCCTGTACTCGAGTCTCGAGATTAGCAACTATGTGTCTTCTCTTTAAGTTGAGGAGGGCGCCAAATGACGGCAATTGACGGCAGGGGACGACAAAAGTTGTGGGCGAGTGCCGCCTTGTAAGAACGGTATATTCAGTTAGCCATGACGGTCATAAGGAGGGGAATATAAACAAGTGGAAGGGGGAACACAGTTTCGATTGGACGATCTCTAATGCGCGGAGGTGATGATACAGATGCGCGACCATGAATATACAATCTTTGAGTTTGGTCACTTATTGTAAAAAATTTCTAAAAATCCATTCGTTTACTCAGCAAGAACTCTTGAGTTACTGTCGATCGTGGCGACTAATTTACGAACCACAAGCATCTTTTAAAAGGGAAGGAACTGATTGTGAGCCACACAAGCCTATTAATTTTTCAATTTCCTTGAAGCCCTTCAATTTTTTTTAACTGTCGACTAAAAGACAAATCGATTAAAAAATAAAATAACTACATCAAACATGAATTTAAAGAATCAAAAGTGTGTACCATTGCCAAAGCTCGGTAACCTTTCCACGGGGATACGATCGAGTACAAAAATTCATATCACACAGCTATACGAGGGCCAATAAATTAGACATCGAAATCGAATGAACTAAACACAATTGATCTATTTGTTCAAATGTAAGCAAACTCAAGCTGTAACTGTACAAAGTTAACCTCTTCCCTCGCGATATTTGGCCAACTAAGTATACTATACTATTTTTAGTCTAATTTATTATATATAAGTTATATAATTTATTATTTTTAGTTTAATTTAGTATTCTTAATGTGATTTTTAATTTATTAATATAGAGAGAGAGAGAACCATTTTATATCTTAACCATGGAAACTTAATGCGCATGCGTAAATAATTCGATAAGCTTCTGTAATGGGGCTAACTCAAAAATTTATAATAAAGAAAAAATTCATTTACCATACAATTAATTATGATAATAAAAAAAATAGTAAAAACATTTATTGTAAATATAACATAATATAAGAAACAAATATAATTAATTAACAAATATATTCTAAAAACTTTTCTGATATTTTACCTAAAATAATTCTTGCTTTAATTATATTGAAATAATTTTTGTATATAATTATTATATACAAATTAATGAAATTGCTTTGAAAATAATATATAATGCGCAAACTAATTATGTATAGTTTTCTATATTCAAAATCTATTTTAAATAATTATTATCTTGTTAAAATTAGAATACTAAATTTATAAAAATGAAATATTAAATTTTATTAAATTTTATTTGTTGCATATACATGCATTTTTTAATAATTTTACAAATTTATTTATTATATTTAATCGGTTTAAAGATAACCTATATCTTTCATCCAAAACACTTTTATAATTAAATTTATTTTAAATTGAATTGTAAATTATTAATATAAAATATTTTCATTATAAGGAACAGTTTCAGTAAATAATATTTAATATTTTCGAAAGGTACACATTTATACAAATATTATTACTGTGTAAAATAATATTTCTTATCATTTTGAATGCTCTATTTTATATTTATATTATAATATTCGTAATAAAGAACTTTTAACAATAAATCAAATATAGCACAAATGGTAAGAATACATACCCCTAATACAACCTATAATATAGTATAATTAGTAAAACAATTTATTGCAGTCAAAGAATATCTTTCACTCATTGTATAAATGCACGAAAATCGTCGTATATGCGACTTTCTAGGAAATATAAATTAAGATTATACTAAACCTTTAGACCAAGAAATTCTTATTATCCCATATCATGCGACATCGCACCAGATTCTTACAACGACAAAACAAATAAATTCATACAATTTATTTATAATATAGAAAACTTCAAATAATAAAATATTTTTAAATATTTAATAACGAAATCAAACAAAACTTAATGCGCGTACTAAAATATTATTAATGCTTGTCTATGCTATACCAGTTAAACAAATGTAAACCTAAACAACACCTTGTATTTCAACATTAAAATATTTACGTTATTAAACAAATAAATAATAATTACTATTATTTATTAAACATTCATTACTATGTTTTTATTATTAAAAAAATTTCCAAAAAAATATCAACGTAAATTTGATAGCGTTAAAGAAGTATATAAAAACTTTTAATGATTGTGTGAACTAATTAATTAAATTAATTTGTAATTAATTTATAAAAATAATATTTTAATATAAAAAATATTATTAAAAGTTAAATAAGTATAAAAATTAACATTGTTATTGTAATGAACTACATAAAAAACTAATACAGAGATAAAAAAGTATATAAAACTCCTACACAATGCTAAATTAGTGTTATAATATATAATAATTGTATACAATATAAGTACATAAGAAAATACAATTTCAATTGAAAAAAAAATTGAAAACACAATATTTTAAATCTACTTCACACATAATGACGATTTTAAATAAGTAATAAATTATTTTGTGTGATATTAAAATATTAAAACGTAGTACATTAAAATATATTGAGATTGACTGAGTACACAATTTTCAACAATTATTAGAATTTTCAGGAATAATATCCAGAATATAAATATTATTTTAATTAACAATAATTATTAACGAATTCTGTAATTTTATATTATTTTCTTAAATTTTCACTTATATCAATGTAGCCAAATTCTGAATGAAAATTATATAAAAGTATTAAAATGGTTTATGATTAGAATCAAAACTTACTATGCTTAATTTGTACAATAAGAGTACAATAATTTATAAATAATTTTAATCAATTTATTCATCACTTATAAAGTTTAGAAAATTCTATCCTTAAAACGATATATCTTAATTCTTAATATTTAGTGAAAAAAAATAAAAATAAAACAAAATCTAGTACTTTCAAAGAATATTAAGTTACCAATTTATATTATAATACAACATCATTAGATATCATAATTCGAATAAAAGTGAATTGAATAATTTTTTTAAACAAGAAGTCAATATTCTAAATAAATATAATTTAACAGTAAAGTATTTATGTTGGAGATTATATATTATAAATACTTTTTATTATCTATGAAATCCCAATCAAGCTCGTATTTATACATCAAATTTCAAAACAATTTTAATAATGAAATATTTAAAGAATATAATAAAAAAGATATTAGAGCTAATAATATTTTTAAAACTAAAAAAATTGCTTTTTTAACAGATCATAATTACATATCATTTAAGAATTCAATTGAATAAAAAAAAATTTAATTTAATAAAAAACAATTAATCATATAAATATTTAAATTATAAAGTCATGCTTTGGAACCACTGGAAAACAAATAGTAGTCAGTATAAATACAACAAACACTGATGAATTAAACATTAATATGCATGTAGATCATCTGTTTTTTAGAACTCAAAATCAACTACGTAATTAAAATAGTCTCCATTGAAGTAATTATAATAGAAATAGAAATAGAAAAAAATGAAAATTTATTAACAAAATTACTAAATGACACTAATAATTCTACATTATCAGTAATATTTGAAAAAGGAATCTAATAAAATATTTAGAAAAACATTAGCTCAAGTAAAAATTACTTTTATCCTCTATCTATTATATGATACTTGAATGAGTAATAAATTGTTATATATATATATATATATATATATATATATATATATATATATAAATTTTTTTTATTTAAGTTATATATAAACTGTATTCAATTTCGTTAAATTTCGTGTATGATGATTTCTTGATACATCAATCTTGATAATAGTTACTATGAAACCGATAATGAAATCATGAATAGATATTATGAGAAAGTAATTTTATTTTAGCAATAATATTTAATTTATATGTGTAAATCACGTACATATGCAATTGCATGTAGAAAAAAAAAGTTATTTCTAATTAAAACATATACTTTAATAGAGGATTATAGTTGCTTCTCATCCAACAATAATGCATAATAAAAGTGATATTCTTTCTATATTAAATGTAATAAATGGTAACCTAGCGAAAACTTATTCAATAAAATGCATAATAAACAATAAATTAGTACGCAGCTGAAATTTTACAATTGTTTATAAATTCATTATGTACATAGAATTAATCATGTGGTTCTATAGCTTTCAAGTGATCTTTGAGAATAAAATGATCACAATCAAATAAAAAACAAGTAATTAAAATCATATTATTAAGCTGTTATTTGATGATATAAATTTATTGTAAAATTGTCAATACAATTTACATGAATTTAACTGTTTATAATTAAGATATTATTTTCTATACTCTTTAGATAAGTAAAGGTTTACAATACATATTTTCCAAATTATACAAAAAATTGAGTTGCAATTCTTACAAATAAATGAAACTCTTATATAGCATATAGCTAGCTATTTCTTATCACTAAAATAATTGGCCATAAAATATATGAATAATTTGAAAATGTTCAGATATACCGAGACTGTTAGATATTTTCTTTTTGAATTATATGTATAGATTCTTGATTGATGTACCTTATTTAAAATATATATAATGACATTCTAAGATTTTATCGTTTGATTTATTTTTATTTAACTTAATTGTAATAAAATAATATTTTTAAATTAAAATAATATTTTTAAATTACGTAATAAGCCTAAAATTTTAACATAGACATTAAACTAAATTTTGCTAATATAAAAATGAACATATTTTTCTAAAACTATTTTCGTAGATATTGTTTGAAATTTCAAATATATTTTTAATAGTATTTTTAAGCATATAAAAATAAAAATATTCATTATTGATATTTTTTATGAATTCTGTAATAAATAAAATTAGGAAATTTAGAATATGCAATTTGTCAAATTTTTCATTCTTAAATATCTAACATAGATTTCATATTTCTGTTCGAATAAAAAAGAATATTGATTTAATTACGATAAATTTATTATATATACATAATTAGATTTACATCGCTAGCTGTGAAATTTGATATAGATATTTATTTGTATAGTTAAGACATTGTTTATCTACCGTTAATATTATAAATTATTTTGATGCGATTATGAATGTGTACAAAAAGAAAAATTAAACTAAGAAAATTATACAGTGCTATTTTTTCATATATTTAAGCTCAATTAATGAAATTTTTAATATTTTATATATTATACACTTATTACTATTCATGAACATTTGCTTTAAAAGATTAATTGATAATTTAATATTAGAGTATTCGATATGTATACAATTAAATCAATCATGTTTAGAATTAGTACTATTTTGTACCTTTAATAATGTAATCATATGAAAAAATATATAGTTGCCGTATTAGAATTTTAAAGCGTGTGCAAACTTTTTTTACATGCTAATAAAAACGTGTTTCATTTAATATGTTAAATTTTAATAAAAATCTTTACATGTTTTTTTGTTTTGTTCGTAATATAGGGTGAATAAATAGGAAATACTTTCATTACTGCCGATTTATTAAGTAAATTTTTAAAGAAGTGTATTATTTTCTATGAGTAAATTAGTTCAATAAAATATAATTTAATAAAATCATTTATATTCACTAGAAGACATTTATATTTTATTTAGTTTAGCTCTTCGCTTTTCAAACAAACAACTCATTCATAAAATAAAAACTAGTTTGTTCATTACAAACGTATGTTTCGATAAAACTGTATATTAATTCAAAATATTGTCATTTGTCTTTTTAGCGCTATTCTTCTGTATTTTTCTCGAAAACTTTCTCGAAGAAAATTCAAATAGTTCTACAATACGTTGATAACACAATATCGTTACTACATTGCAATTACAATAAAAATAAATAAATTGAAACGTATTTTTGCCGATTGTCGATGAACTTATATATGAACGTAAGGCAGCACACGTTTATAAATACATTTGCAAAGAAAAAATGCTCTACTTTTTTAAAAGCATATTATTTTCGATTATATTACTTTACTCGTACATGTGTATTTATCTTTTATTTCGGTGTCCAGTAATTCGAGCGTCGCGCACTATTAAAGAATACCAGTAAATGAGGGAAATGAAGGGTGAGAGAGAGAGAGAGAAAGAGAAAGAGAGACTGCAATAGAGAGAAGAGAGGAATCAATGGAGCCAACTGTTTGGAAAACTACCGGTGCGATGGACATTATAAAAGAGTTTTTAAATTTTTCAAATGAGTGACGAATTTTGGTAGTAGAAGTAAAAACAGACGAATAAAAAGATTAGTAAGGGGAAGTATGTTCGTTTTGAGTGGATCTTTATTTTAACAAATAGAGCGATGGGTAGGATGTGATTGGATGGAGGAGAAGAAGATTTTATAAAGTTGGCAGAAATGAGCGACGCTTGTAACTTCGTGCAAAATGTTACTCAGCGGGGATAATTGAAGCCGCGAATACGCGTGCGCGTGCTGTCCGCAAATAAGGAAAGGAAAGGTTTGGTGCTGCTACGGTCGAGAGATGCTTACGCTATAGGCAGTTTGTCGAAGGACGCCGTCGTTAGTTAGCATTGAGCCTGTGCTTCACTATTTTGTTCCGTGGTCGAGTCGTTGTTGCCCGGGCCGCCGCTACCGTCACCACTACTACGCTACCGCCGTTGTCGCTGCTGCCACCGTCACTACAATCGCCGCCATTTTTACTTTACGTCGGGCCGCAGTCTGAGCCGCGTGTACGGACAAATTCACCTCGCGATTTTCGTCTCATTCACCGGTTTTTACGGATTACTCTTGACTTGGTAAGCATCAGTAAGTTATTTTATCGGACCTCTCTTGGTTTCGTAACTGCTTGCGTGGAGCCACGAGGCGTCCCAGAAGACGATTCCACGCCATTGCGCTTTCCGCGTCTGACACCTTACTTGTTCTTTGCCCCCTTCCCCTCAAAAACACGACCTTACCGTGAGCCGGCGACCGAGTGCCGTTTCTGTTAGACGTTTTGTTACTACATTTTGCAGAACTTCGTTAATGATGCACCCTCTGCCACTTATATAATTATTCCTTAAAAAAAAAAGCCCTTTTTTGCACCTGCGTTGGTCGATCTCCGTCACACTGTCGTACAATTTTGCTTTTGAGGACGAGCACCCCGAGATTAAAAGTTGCTGATCTATTCGAATATCGATTACCGATTATTTTATATCTCTTTTCATAAACGTTTTGAATGCGTTTTTATTAATTATCTGTTTTTCCTTACACTTCTATTTGATTATTTACCTAATTCTCTTCCCCCATCAGTGTCTATTGTTTCGTTTATACAACTCGCCAATGATATATCAACTGCCATGTAAATTTCATTAAGTTCTTTTATGTTCTTACTTTACAGAAGAATATTGGTTATTCTAAATTATTACAAAGATGGAACAGTGACAATCGAGCAATGTATTATTATATTTATCTAATCATTTGAACGAGAATGCATTATTTTCAGAAAGATTAAAAATAAAAAAGTCGAAAGTACATGGAATTCGCGCACGCGCGCAGTGCCTATGTGTGCTTTATACGTGCCTGCATGTATATTAATTTAAGAGTGGATAACTGACAATGTTTTGAGCGACACGTACGGGACGCTCGACGAAACAAGAAAAGCTATGCGCTCAGCGCCATCTTAATCTCGCGTTCACGCATTTATACACGTTTACATATACTTCTCGTGGACACGTTTCGCTTGGTGCAAGGAAAGCAACAACGACGCAACGATTTTACGAATCGTGCGATTGCTTACCTTAACCATTTGTTTTTCTTGTTCACCCCAACTTTCCTCGAGTTTATGAAGTGTTAGATGCTGCAACTTGCATCGTAACGACTTCCGGTTATAGCGATATATCTTGGCGAGAATTCACAAGTGCGCAGTTAGTTAATAAATAACGCGTAGAATTACTGCTTCCTTTCATTCATCGATTTTTCTGGACTTTCGGTTGCGCAGGTTCTGAGAACGAGCCGAAATAATGCCGGGTTTCAGTAGCGTGGGTACTTTCAAAATTTTCATCGGCAATTTGGCCGATAAGACCTCCAATGCCGACATTAAACCACTCTTCGAGAAGCATGGGAAAGTCGTCGAATGCGATGTCGTCAAGAATTACGGATTTGTGGTAAGTTAATAACATTTTTTCGATCCCACTTTTAGGTGTAATACGAATATATGTGAGCGGACGCGAGCGTTAGATGCATACATCCACACAGTCATACTATATTTCCATCCATAAATTAAATAGATCATGACGCTACATGCAATGAAAAATCTATGATGTAAATGTATAACTAATTTATAATTTTATTATTAAAAAAAGAAAAAGAATACTTAACAATTAAAAATTGATGTGCGATATTAGTTATAGCTTTGTTAATGCATTTAATAAAAATATGATAATTTATTATACACAAATATATATTATTAAATGTATGTATGTAGTTTATCTTTATTTAGTACATGTTAAACTAATTTAATTTTTATTACAAATATTACACATAAAACCTACATCATTTGATTTCAATTAATGAAATTTAATTGTAATAAAATATTTCTAATCAAGGAAATTCAATATTAACTAAAATTTAACTTTTATTCTTTTATATGTAATAGTAAAGTAGTATTAGTAAGCGATTTCAAAATGAAATTTTCAGTTTATGGTTAAATAAAATAGTTTATATTAATATATTCAATAGTCTCTAAAATCAAAACACATTTACAGCACATGGAAAATGAAGAAGCTGGTAGAAATGCTATTCAAAATTTAAACGGTCAATTGGTGCATGGACAAGCTATCAAGTGTGAGGCAGCAAAAAGTCGCAAAGGTCCCAATACCCCTACAACCAAAATTTTTGTAGGTAACTTAACTGATAACACTAAAGCACCCCAAGTGCGTGAGTTATTTGCCAAATATGGTACTGTGGTTGAGTGCGATATTGTACGCAACTATGGGTTTGTCCACTTGGAAGCCACAGGGGATGTCAATGATGCTATTAAGGAACTGAATGGACAGATCGTGGATGGTCAACCCATGAAGGTACAAATATCAACAAGTAGGGTACGACAAAGGCCTGGTATGGGAGATCCAGAGCAGTGCTACAGATGTGGAAGAGGTGGTCATTGGTCAAAGGAGTGTCCTAAGGGTGGAATGGGTGGTGGACCTGATAGAAATGGCTTCAGGGATAGGATGTTTGGACGTGACCCTTATCCACCACCACCACCACCTCCTTTCCTTCGAGATAGACTAATGGGTGGAGCACGCTTCGGTGTAAGTGTCAGATCGCTAAAAGCAGATTAACCTTTTCGTATCTCAAGCTAAACAATGTCCTATATACAATTGTTTTGAATAATTTCAAGGACTGAATTATCTTACAAGAGTTGCCTGAAAACCACATAAGATTAAAAAGAAGTTGTTTTTCTGATTGAAGTTATTTCTTTTAATTATATAGCTCAGATATATATAGTTGGAAGAATGTATTGTATTAGGGATATGAAAAGGTTAATCATTTTATTTGTAATAACTTAAAAACAGTGTCTGCAATAAATGTTCAAAAAGACTTATCCGCCCTTCCAGGACTATGACAGTTACTACGATCGTCGTGGATTTGACGATACCAGGGATTTATATGAGAGGAGGTTCACAGGAATGACCGGAATGTCGGGTAATGAAGCCTATCAGTTTCCCGGTACGATTTACTGAGGCGTAAATCGCGCCAATACAGGAATTCACTAATACTATTATTTTATTCTGTTTTTGTTTTTTTGTGGGTGATGATACACAACAGGTATGGGATCAATGCGTGACACTGGATTCTCTCGTGGTCAAGACTATGGCATGTTTAGCCGACGATCACCACCACCCACTGGTAACAATGGCAGATTCAGGTGAGTTAATAGGTTTCATCTCCATCTTCACATACGAGAGATTGGTTGACCACCCATATCCGGCTTAACATTGTGAACACATTTTAGGCTGGATTAACAGTTCATGCGATTTTTAGGGTTGGGCGATTTACTTTATGCGTCTCATACATTTTGTCCTTAATATCTTTCTCTATTATTCATATTTCCATCTGACTGCCACTCTTCACTCCCTCTTTTTCATTATTTTTTTTCTTTGTTTTCTTCAATTAAAAACTACCATTTCCCCTTTATAAATTATACTTGCAACTGTCTATATATATATATATATATATATATATAATATACATTAAAAAGTGGAATTTATCGGGTCGGTGTGGTCTGTAATTTTTTAAATAATTTTTTTTATTCATAGATATAAATATTTATTTTTCATGGAAACATTATAATCATGTCATTATAAAATGAGTAAAAAGTAAAATATACTTGGCACGGAAGTCTTATAAAGTATTGAAAAAAGAAAAGGAACAATTGTGTACACAATCGAGCGTGGTGTTACTGTACATTTATGCAAAATGACAATATCTGGACATTGTGTACATTCTAAATTTCAGTGCATTTCCGGCTCCATACCGAGTTTAACTGTGAATACAAGCAACCTTAGAGGTACAGTTGTGGGTCAACGTTCAAGTCATGAAAGAGTAAGTCTTCGTAAATTTTTGTTTAATAAAATATATTCTTCAATCTTTTATTTTCTTGATACGTCATTAGTTGGTCCGCTATAATCAGCACCATTGTTGACCAAGGGCTACTATTCTTGCCTTGAATAAAGTAACTGCACTTCTAGGGATTTGCCAATTCATAGGCTCTCTTGTTCCATGGCGTTAACTGCGAGCTTTTAGTCTTAAATTTATATATACATGTATATATATAATTTTTTATGTTCTTCACTTGGTTTAATAAATATAAGAACCAATCAATGTAGTTTATAACACATTGCCTCAACACATTACAGTAAATATACGTAACAGTTAATGTTTTGTTAATTGACAACAATTTTCAAAAATTTTATAACACACAGTTTCAAGAGTTGCACTTATTAAAAAAGGTGGTCCTCCTGCTGCCTAATTTACATTTCATTCAATAGCTTTATATAACAATTATCGATTTTATTCCCATTTTTTATGCTTATTATTGCACGTTGTATCACTTGCTATTTTAACATATAGGTATTTTGTTCACGCGTTTAAAGGTCGTGGTTCTTATAATTAATTTATGTAAAATTTAATATTTTTGTGGCAGTGATTTGTAAAAATCGCATGGATTTTTAAATCCAACTGCAAACTTTTACTGTCTTGAATAATCATAAAAAAAATTTTATCTTTGAATTTATTCACCTATTTTTCAATATGCTTGGAATGTCTAGTTATTTAACTAATTTTAAAATTTTCAAAGGTATCTAGTAGATAATATCGATTATGAAAATTGATAATAGGGACTAATTCACAAAGTTAAGCCTTGGACAAGGGAGTACATACAGTAAACTCTTGTAAATTATTTCTTTTGAAATAATATAGAATAGATAACTGATTTAAATGCTGTTATAGTAGAGGCATGTACGAGGACTTCAGCAGAGATTCATTTGAAGAGCGTAGGTAAGTTCATGACATCAAAATACCACACCAGCCCGAAGATTCTTTTTTAAGTTTAACATTGTGACTTCTTTTCATTGTCCCTTTCTTTACCTCGCTTACATCATCGTTTCATCAGCTTGAACAAAAACGACGTTGCTTTTACTCTTAGTAAATACATTAAATATTTTACGTATAAGTACTACTCATTTTTTATGTAAAATAAATAATATATTTATAAGTATGAAGTACATGACTTACACACATACATACACACATATATACATATTTATATTATGGAATTTTTATAACAAATTATTTTTTTGTATTGTTGGAGGAAAGTAAAGTGAGGTAAACGAAGGTCGTCAAGACTTCATTTCCCTTAGTACCAAAAATAATTTTGTATGTACCATAAAACTTAAATTATATTATTGGAAAAGTAATAATAAATGATATTTTCGTAAAAGACAGACCTAATCGCCAACTATCGTTTAGATCTGTTTTGTTAGTAAATCTATCATTGTCATTATAACTATTTAGTTTATTTTTGAGAGGTGGTGATATCTCGGATTATACTTTATTGTATCCGAAGAATAAAATAGATATATTATTGGGTCGTTTTGTAAAAGTTTTTATATCGTTACGTTGAAATAAGAAAATAAAAAAAACGGGCAGGCGATCCTTATTCAATCTACTGATATACTGTGCAAGTAGGCCTGATTAACAAATTTTTCTCAATATGCGAAATATAATCCTCGTCACCTCCTCCCAACAATAATATAGAAGAAAAAAATGAATATACAAATATAAATACATGAATATACGTATGTGTATATATTTATAATATAAAATATAAAAGAAAACGTGCATCCGTTTTTCCCGATTTCGTTTGACTGACGTGGAAAAAATTGATTCTGCTTTACCAGACCGGGAATACGAGGGCCATCGCCGTCGCGCCGGTTCGCACCATACTAAAGCGTCGCCGCCGCCGTCGTCGCCGTCATCCGCCGTCTACGTCGTCGTCGTTGCCGCCGCCGCCGCCGCCGCCGCCGCCGCGCGAGCGTCGCCGCCCCGCCGCCGCCCGAGATAATCTCGGATTTACGTCTCGGATTTATCTCTACATTTGTACAAGTCAGTACCCGCTAATACGTGTTATATCGAAATAATATCCGTATCATGATTACAAGACGAGGCATCGCTGTCTCAAAACGCAGAGAATAAATTCGTCGTTCATCTTATTAAATTAGAGCAATAAACGATAATCACTTGACACTTAATTATAAGATTCTGTATGAGCGTATATATATAGTGTATACTTGAACGTAAATGTAATGTATGTACTCAAGTCTACGTTTGTAAATAATGGAACAGCATTTTATTCATCTTTTTATCTTAACACACTTAGTTAGAATGATGGCTGTAATTATCTGAAAACGATTCAAATTATATAGGTAATTAGGTACATTAGTTACAAAAGTCATAAGTATCGAAGATTTAAAGACGTTATATTCATAATAAGTAAACATGCATCGAATAAATTGTTTTCTTTATCTAAAAAATTAAACTTGCGTGTCTATGTAAGTGTACTTAAAAACAACGATAAATGGGACAAAATCACGGATTATGTACGAAGGCTTCTTCCGAATTTTGTAAGTTTTGTAAGGCAAGTGATGAAAATTGCCACGAGGAGTAAAAAATTGATTGAATTTATTCTTTCTTTTTCACTATAATCATTTCATCATTAGATATTAGTTAATTTACTTTAATTTTGAATTACATAAGTATCATTTTTTTAACACTTCTGACTAATAAAGACGAAGAAAAGATAGGCTTAAATATTCAAATAATTGAAAATTAAATATCTTTTTAAAAGACAAGGGCCTGTTTGCTACTATACTATTCAGATAAATTGCGACATTAAAAATTCCGGTAAAATAACACGTATCTAGCATTTAAAAAAATCATAATTATGTAATAATTCTTTTGATATATATAATAAAGATGAAATCCATCAAACAATTATTTTGATGGATGTAACGTAATACGTCACACCTAACAAAATTACTATAGCTTATTTTAAGTAAAATAAAAATATAATGAAATCATAATTACAGAGAAAGAGAAAAATAAAGTCAATTGTCTCGTTATTCTTCGTAGCAATTTTTATCGGTTGGATCTTGTAACGCCCAGACGTTAATAAAGACTACGTACATAATCCTTTATTTTAAGTTGTTTTAAATTTAAAAAAAAAAACAATTTTCTTAATACATATTTACTTATTATAAATATAACGTCTTTCAATTTTCGGCAGTTAATTACCTTTGTAATTAATATACCTAATTATATAACTAATTTTAATCGTTTTCAAAGAATTACAGTTATTCTAACTACAATACTATATTATAATCTCTACAATACTTTAGCGTGTACTGACTTGTAAAATTTATTGAAAATTAAACTAACAACATATTTTCCTAATGGTTCTGTTTGATAAGAGGTAATTTTGTAGCTCATGACATTGTTTACAATTAATTTATTAATCAATAATAAATTTATGTAAAATAAGTGTAAACAACGTTATAATAGACGAAATACAAACTTATCAACATTTAACATTAATCAAGTTTGTTGTTATGTTTATTGTCAATTTTGATTGTTCTGCGGTTTGCTCTCGTTTGTTCTAACGACATGATTTGCCCGAGGAGTAAATAGTAGTAAGAAAAAGTGCGTATTAAAAAAAACCTAATCCACTCCAAGCGCTACTGTGGTTTCAGTATCTCTTTATCTGTACGAAAATAATTAAAGATAAATAAAATAATAAAACTAAAGGTCAGCTTGTAACCGATAACAATTCACGTAAATACAAAGTAGAAGTTTGTCAGCTCGTTTTAATAATTTGTCAAATTCAAGAAGTCGAATGAGAGGAAAATAAAAGGCATTTGAAAGGAAGAGCAATGATTAACGGTAGAACACGCGGCGCAAGTTTAGCATCGAGGTTCTCTTCATGACATGGAGAGGGAGAGCGAGAGAGAAAGAAAGAGAGAGAGAGAGAGAAACTTTTTGTAAGATTCGTGTTTTTCACTATATAATAAATATATATTACAATGCGATAGTAATATTTCCATCCCCATAATAAATGATAAAGAAATATCTGTAATACAAATGTAATACTTGTGAAATTCACAATAATGAACGAAACGTGATTGTTTTTTTTTCTTTCATCACATTCACTTCTCATGTCCGATAACAAACGATATTCACCGTGAATTTCCCACCTTTATAAAGTTCCCTTAATAACCTACTCTGCACTCTTTGATCCCAAGTCCTCAATAATTTTAACTTTTAAGCGAAAAAGAAATGCACATAATATTGTAGAAGATGCATTAATCAGTTAATTTAAGTGTACTCCAATTGTAACCAATCATATTAAAAAATTGAAAAAAAGCACAAGAGGGATTTCTCGAGTAATGTTTGCGTAAAAGGGTGAAGCTAGTGACGCAGATGTGAATCCAGCAAGTCAAGACTAAGGTTAAAAAAATATTTACTTTTACTTACAACCCGTTTCGATTAGTTGATTGCCCTTACTTTTGTAATGATTATGTACCCAGTGTTTTATCTGTATAGAACCGCGTATATTGTTAATACATTATCATTAATTATCAACCAGTCGTGATGTAGTATTGCAACAAAATCTAATTAAAATGAGTATACCCATCCATATCGCTTACGCTGCTATAATGGATTAATGATGAAAATCGATTCAACGATATATAATGTAATTAAATCGTTGCCTATACATTAGGCTTGCCGAGCACATTCGTTATTCAATATATCGTCCTGAAATTTCTGTAGGTAAAGCATAAAAATGTTGGATTATTATATACTCCATGGACAATTCGAATCCACGCTTTTTAGCTTTGCCTCCTTTCTTTTTCGTATAAATATGACAAAATGGAAAACTATCAGCATTCGTCAAGCCACGAGCACGCAATATTTGTACATCAAAGGGATACAATATGAATTTTTTTTAAGATGTTAAAGCTTTTGTTTAAAAATAGGATCATTTAACGAGATACGAGAAAGGAACATTTTGGTCGTCCGCGTCTTCGCTGGCTTCCTGCGTCACTCGCGTTGCCGTGACTCCGCGCAAGCGCGCACTTAACAACGACAGAAGCAAGAAATAATCCATCTGTCCTAGGTGGTTTAGACAACTTTTTTTAATATCACTCGTTTATTTATGCTTCTTTTA